AATTCTTAGAGATTGTGGAGGCAAGTCGTGTGGCACAAGAAGTGAAGCATCCTTTCAGAAACCTCCTTAAGCGTAGGAACATGCCTCAGTTGGTCATTGCAATTTGGATGCAGGTGCCGCTACTATACTAGTACTTTGCAATTCAAAATCCTAGTTACGTTTACGTGTATCAGATAGTCTCACATGTTATGTTTTACATGCCTACAGATTTTCCAGCAATTCACTGGCATTAACGCAATCATGTTCTACGCTCCAGTTTTGTTCCAGACCTTGGGATTTAAGAGTGATGCTTCCCTCTACTCAGCTGTTATCACAGGAGCTGTCAATGTCCTCTCAACCGTTGTATCAATATACTTTGTCGACAGAGCTGGTCGGCGCGTGCTATTGTTAGAAGCCGGTGTCCAAATGTTCCTTTCTCAAATGGTGGTTGCAATAATAATGGGACTCAAAGTGAAGGATCACTCTAACAACCTTGGCCATGGCTTGGCAATTATTGTGGTGGTTATGGTTTGCAGTTTTGTTTCATCCTTCGCGTGGTCTTGGGGACCTCTCGGGTGGTTGATACCTAGCGAAACGTTCCCATTAGAGGCCCGCTCAGCAGGCCAGAGTGTGGCTGTCTGTACCAACATGCTCTTCACCTTTATCATAGCACAGGCCTTCCTCTCAATGCTTTGCAACATGAAGTTTGCCATTTTCCTCTTCTTCACATTTTGGGTATTTGTCATGACAATTTTCGTTGTGGTCTTAATTCCTGAGACAAAGGGTGTCCCTATTGAAGAGATGACAGAAAGAGTTTGGAAGCAACACTGGTTCTGGAAGCGATTCATGGATGACTTTGAGGATGATCCTAAGGGCAAGTTGCATGCTTGAACTATCTGAATTCAGATAGTTTATTATCTGCTTGGTGGTTTATTAGATTTTATAAGGAGGCTTAAGAATTCTTCTTTGGTTCTAGTAGCCTCACAACACGCCCTCTCTGCTTGCCAAATAATCTGCTAATTTATTTTCTGAGAGGCACTATTTGAACAAAATGTATTCCTGCAGGCCCTCTTGGATTACATTCATTCTTTTGATTTCGTTTATAAATTCAATTGTCGGAACCCTCTATCTATCTGTGTTGTGGACAACATTAATGGATTTTGATGAATTGAGTTTTTCTTAAAACAAAACTTGTCAAAAATGAAAGAATGTTTATCCCAAGAGAGATGTTGGTGATGGGCAATAATATGGGACAGACATGTCTCTCAAGAAAATGAAAGCATAAGAGAGAGGAGAGCTCAAAAATGCATTGCTTGAATCTTTAATATTATGGAAATATGAAAATGTACAATTGTAATGAACAAAATTGAAAGAAAATTTCTAAAGACATAATAAACCAAATAGTAATTAACAACCGCCATGCGTACGCCGTAAGATGGTTTAAGCATTTGCCTGGGCCTTGGTACTATCTTCAACTTCATCCATATATCGCTTCCAGAACCAGTGCTTCTTCCATACTCTCTCAGTCATCTCTTCGATAGGGATGCCTTTCGTCTCAGGAATTAAGAAGAGAGTGAAGAGAGTCATGGCGAAGACCCAAATTGCGAAAAACAAGAAAATGGCAAACTGCATGTGGCAAAGCATTGAGAGGAAGGCCTGGGCTATAATAAAGGTGAAGAGCATGTTGAAAAAGACAGCCACACTTTGGCCCGCTGAGCGAGCATCTAGTGCGAAAATCTCACTAGGAATCAACCACCCAAGAGGTCCTAAGGGCAATGACGCCGGATAGAATGGTGATTATTCTACAGGTTAGTCGTTTCAAGAACTCCTCTCTTGGATTGCATTATTTTCCAACTAAAAGCATTAATTCCTGCAATACAGTTGTCTTGCATTTCATTCTTTAAATCTCGTTTATCAATTCAAATGTCAATGCTGTCCTTAATTGGCTTTTATCTTTGTAGGAGCTTATGATTGTTTCTTGAGAATTACTATATATTCCTTTCTGTCTTTGTCTCTCAAAAGTAATTATGGTTTCTTTCCACACACTCACATGAAGAAATGTAAAAGACTGACAAGGTTAATTCACAGAGATTATTATTTCTTTAATTACAAACTAGCCTCTCTGCCTTAAATTCTTAATGTTTGCATTAACCAAGGGCATTTTATGGTATTTTGAATGTTTCACCATTCTCTGCCTTTTGCTTTATATAT